AACCAAGAGAGATTATGTAAAGGTGCAAATTTCCAATGATGAATGTCATTATATTGTATACCTAAAATGTACCAATAAAATAAAATTTAAAAAAATAAATTCACCACTTCTTGTGTTTATCAACACACAGGAAATCTGGGTACCCTGGGAGGATCCTGGAATTTCCCACACACAATCTTTCTTCTGTACTGCATCCTCAAGCAGTCTTTTCTTCCTTGGTTGCTGGTCTCAAGAGCATATCGTTGGTCTCCCACCCACTGAGTCCCATTCCCCTTCTCCTCTAATCTTTATATATCTTGAGTAGCCACAGCAAAGCTATCCCATAAGGTCACCTGGCACAATACTGTCTCGTCTCCTAAAACTTAGAGCTGGATCACAGCTGAGTACAGGACAGGCAGGAAAACCAGGATCCTATGGAAAGGCCAATGCCAAGCACTTCACTTTCTTTACCTGACCTTCATTTTTGTGTCTGAGACCTTCAGTGTGTCCTCATGGCTTTATTTGTATTCTCAGTGACAATTGAGCAGTAAAGGACTTAATTCCTATGAGCCTCTTTGCATCTGAATGTGATACCAGTTCTATCGGCAAGAGCAGCACATGAAGTCAAAATCTCCATTCTTCAAGTCACCAAAACGAAATCCTCCCGTCCAGGGCTCCATTCTATGGCACCCATTGAGGGAATGGGGTGTAGACAGAGTGTGCAACTTTCCATAGAACCATGATCCTAATGAGGAGAAAAAGGAGGCCCACAAAGAATGCTAAATTTTCTTCTCACTTGGCTTTTAAGTCCTTGGTCCCTTCAGCAACAAAGGAATCATCTTGGCATCACTACTTACCCGGCCACCAGACAAGTAGATCTAGACAAACAGGGACAATCAAGGCCATAGGAAAACTATACGCACACATAGACATGGAAACTTGGAGATAATAAACTTTAGAAGAAACGTGGAGAGTAAATATTCATGAGTCTATAGAGCTATCACTCATCCATCCCACCCAGGATCCATCCACCCATCCATTCACTCATCCAAAGCAATACTGACTGACCTGGGCACCTTTAATCAGCTCTGCACTCAGCACTGAGGGGGGCACAAAGACAGAGGTGAAAATCTAGAAGCCAAAATTGGAGGTGGGACGAGCAGTAGAGGTGACCCTGAAAGGCCTCCTGCCACTCTGGAACACGAGACCTGGAGAAGTGGAGAGATTCACAGAGGGAATCCACTGCCCCAGCACAGGTAACATAGAGATGCCAAGCCCTCCGGACTTCCTAGAGAGGCCCGGAAGTGGCTCCAGGAGGCCGGTCCCACGGCTTTTGAGTCCGAGCTGGGGGAGGCCGGTGTCACAATAGGCTTGGGCCGCCGCACCTTTTATAGCTCCTGTCTCACGCCGTCACCTACCGCCACTGTGAGTGCGCCGGGTTGGAGGGCTGCAGCGTTGACAGGTGGCAGCCCCGGGGGTGGGGTCGGTAGCAGCACGTCTGAGTGTTTGTTCCCTTTATGGTTCCAGGGTGCGGCTCAGCGTGGCTCTCTAGAATGTCGCCGAGGCCAAAAGCCCTGGCGCTCCTCTTTTTCTTCTTTAGCTTTTGGTTTTGTCTTTGCTTTTGTTTTTTCTCCTTCAAGGCAGTAGGTCCCCCTCTCAGCTCTCCTCACTGTCTAGCCGGACTTGATTCGTAACTTTCCTTTGCATCGCACTTTGGGGGAAGAGATTACCTTCTCTTTATGACAAATAATTATTAGGATTTCCTACTTAGCGAGGCAATGTGAAGTTTCCATTTAAAATAGATTATTTCTTGAAAAAAAATATTTTCAATCTAAGTAAAATCCAGTAGACGAGTAATAGTGCCTAGGTGCCAGGTATGACAGTGATTGAGGAGGTGGTAAGATAACGATCTGAGTGAACAAGGCTTTGTCACAACTCTACTGTGAGGCTTTATACTTTGTGATAAAAAGGAGGATCCCCTGTTTGAGCCCAGCCTGGGCAGCTTAGCAACTTTGTGAGACCATGTCTCCAAAAGTGAAAGGCTGAGGATGTAGTCAGTGTGGACATTCTAGGTTCAATCCCAAGTACCAAGGGGATGGAGGGGGCCAGACAGAGCAGGATCCAGTTCAGCCACTTAAGACCTGTGTATGCGCAAGGCTCTTGGCCTCTGAGCTATTTTCTTTATCTATGGAAAGCTGATGATAGAATAACAACCTTGAGATTGTCCTGAAGCATAAATGGTAAACCTTTGAAGTGCCTAGTGCCTAAAAATAATAAACGTAGCTGTGGCTGTTAGTATTTTCATTTTAGGGCGGAAGAAGTAGGACCAGAGAGGTTTTATGAGTTGCCCAGGGTCACACACAGGGAGCTGGTGGAAGAGACAAGTTCAGAACCCAAGTTCTCTGACTTCCAACCTAGCAGTCAACCCTGCATCATCTTCCGTCTACCTCATGGGAGATGTGGCAGCTCCTTGATCCACGAACTGGAAGGTGTTAGCTGGGAAAGCACACATAGGGCTCGGGTCAGCAAAAACAGCGGGGTCACAGACACTTGGATTCCAGTCCACGTATGGATCTCTATTCTACCATTTACTCTGCGTGGGACTTGGAGTTATCACTTTATTTCTCTGAGCCTCAGTTTTCTCATCTGTAAAATGGGACCAGCAGTTGAGGTTCATCTTAAGGGCTGTTAGGAGCATCAGGTGAAATAATTTATGGACAGAGCATACCACAATGCCTGGCACAGAGTACATGCTCAATAAAAGGCAGCTGCTACTACTTGCATATGTTGAAGTGGCAGACACACTGACCTTAAGAGGGGAGAAAGTACAAGTATTGTGCTCCTCCTTGCAGATGTGGCAGAAAGGGACACTTGAAAAGCTTGCTCAGTATCTGTCCCATTTAATTATTGCCTGATATTCCTTACAGATATTCCCTACAGATATTCCTAGAGAAGTGGTTTCTGCTCACATGGTAGTTTGGGAGACAGGTGGGAAATATCAATTGTAAAATTGTTTAGTTCCTTTTGTCGCCAGCATTGTGAAGAGTTGCAAGGACCTTTTGTGCAATAAATATGTGGGTAGCTGGACAAGAAGATCTTCTACAACCTAGTGGTGAGCCTGATTTACAGATAGCTTCCCTGTCACCCACTGTTACATTGGAAACAGTGAACAAATGCTGATGCCTGCCTTGAACACCAGCTTTTCACCCAGAGCTCTTAGCTAACTTCCCTTGAAACAAGTTCAGCCTGCTAAGTTTTATGCTTAACAACCCTTTCATCCATATCAGGGTTTTTCTCTCTATCATCTCTAGCTACATCATCTTGATTACTTTGACTGCATTATGTGAAGCACAAATAAGTAATTTTTCCCATCATGTGTAATGCAATCAGCATCATCTCATAAATCCTGTAGCTTCAACATGTTTTCTAGGACTCAACACAATAAGAACAATCACCTTTTACCTCTGGTAAGTACTTCTGCAGAAAGTTAAAGCACCCAATCACAGGGGACATGCCACCTGGAGATGTATTTCTCTTCCTCATAGTGAAGAGAGCAATGTTTTATTTTTGCGAAAGAAGTATTAAAGTTGATGAGATGCTAATGGCACCTCTGTTTCTGCATTGCTCTATAATGCCAGAGGGTTGGTGGCATCATGGCTCTGCACTCCCAGGGATGGGGAACTGTGTGCATAATCTAAGGTTCTTATTACTGATCCTTAGCATTTAATTAAGTCTTTGTAAATCTAAAGTACTCCTAGTCATCTTTTATTAATTTCTGTTCCTAACTTCCCTGTGGGATGTCAGCTTTATTACCCTCACTTTACCTTAGCATATCAAGAGGTCAGGAAGATTTTAAATCTCATTTATTTCCCTGTTTGTAATTAAGATTCCTTTTGCTTGATCATGTGCTTAACTTTAACCTGTTTTTGCTAAAATGACAGCTCAGGTCAGACAAAATCCTCCACTGCCCTGACAGGAAAGCAATTACTGAACAAAGCCACATTTTAGAAGAGACTTCAGACGGTTGCCATTATAAAGGCAGGTCTGAGTGCAAGGCTGTAGGAGGAATCAGATGGAAACTAATTAATAAAATAGAAATGATAACCTGTATAAATAGGAGGGAACTGGTTGAAGAAAAATTATACCGATTTTCTTCCTTCTGGCATATTGTGAGACTTTCCTGGGGTTTTCTGCAGGTGTTTGCTAAAATTGTTTGCTTCCTTGCTTGCTTGCTTGTTTTTTTGAAAGAAGATTTCTCTATATGATGAGGCTTGTGTTGAACTGTGTAGCCCAGACTGGCCTCAAAATCAAGATCTCCTGCCTCAGCTTCCCATGCCTGTTTTGCTGAGATTTTCGTGTTTATTGATATAGAAGACAAGGAAGGAAGTGATAGCTCTTTCTGGCACTATGGCTGGTGCCCTAAGGTTTTATTAACCTTGAGGGCAGGCTCCTCTTCATTACTTTGTCTTGCTGTGTCAGTCAGCAGTCTGTCAGTGAGCCGAAGTGGGAGAGGAAAGATTAAAACAGGAAAGATTTGTTTTGACTCATAATTTCAGAGGTTTCAGTGAATGGTCAGCTGCCTCCATTGCTTCTACACCTGAGGCAAGGCAGACACATCACTGTGGAAGGGTGTGGTGGGGGAAAGAAAACTGTTCCCTTTAGGGCAGCCAGAAAGCAGAGATGGAGGGGAAAAGCCAGAGAGAGAGAAGGAGACAAGATATATCCTTTAAAATTGTCCCCTGGGCCCTACCTCCTTTTCTCATCAGCTCCCAATAATGCCATTGATGGATTAATCTACTGCTGAAGTTAGAGTCTCACCATTAAGTCACCTGAAAGCCCCACCTCTGCACACATGCTACTTCGGGGAGACATTTTAAATTTCAACCATGACACTTGCTCGATCACTGGATTTTCCTTTTCTTTTCTGACCTATTGATCCGGTCAGTCATGCACATTCTTGCCTTTGATCAAAGGAACCAACTGGAAGCTAATGAGAAGTAGCATCAATCCGCCTGCCAGGTTTCTGAAGCATTAATCTGTAATTGCACATTCTTAACATGATTGATGCACTTGTGAGCCGTGACCACACGCAGTCTTGTGACTGCACTGAAATCTGTGATTTTTTAAAAATAATAATTAGAAGTATTTCTGTTGGAATTTTTGTTATCTGGGCTCTTGGAGATCTCATCCATTTTCTAGCTCCCTTGCAGTGGAATTCTTGTGGAGGTATTAAGAATATCCTAGACCCTGTTATCTGTCATTCTGTTAGTCACAAATCTATTAACTGGATAAAACATCTCCAGAACCCTTATTTCCATTTATGCCACCCCCTTCCTCCAGCTTCACCTGGACACTGCCCACTACAGCCTCATTCAGTTTCTTGGCCCCCTTACCCTGGTTCCAGCTGAGCACACTGGTGTTTAGGCCCTCTAACCCAGACCCTACTCACCCCTTGCCTACACTCTGTCCTGCCTCCAGCCTTTCCCTCCTGCAAGGGAAGCTTTGTTCTTCAGCAAGGACCAAAGGTTCATGCTAGTCCCCTGCTGTAAGCCTACAAAGCCTCCTGTTTACTGAATGAAGTTCACACTTCCCACAAGGGCAGGCAAGGCTGTCTCCAAAGCTGCCCCAGCCTGTCCTGCCCCAAAGCCCAGCTGTACGCTGTGGCTTCAGTTCACACCTCAGCCACAGTGGACTCATCATTTCACTCATCTGACATGCCTTCCCTGGGGTGCTTCCATTCATTTGGGATACACCTTCATGTCTGTGGTAATTCTCCACTGCCTCTCAGCCTACCTGAATCCGCCGGTGGTCCAGGCCCAGCTCTGGGCTCACTCTTCTGCCCCCTGACCTGCCTGTCAGAGTCAGCATCCCCAGCCCCCATCCTGGAGTTCCCACAGCACTCATTTGTACCAGCTTAGAACAGTAAGCTGCTTGTCACTTTCTGCCTTGGGTTACAGTTTGGGTTTCGAATGTCCCCCGGACGCTCCTAAGGTGAAGGCTTGGTTACCAGCCTAGGGCGCTGTTGGGAGGTAGTGGACCATTTAGGAGGCGGGCTCTAAAAGAGGTTAGGTCAGTGGGGGCATGGCTTTAAAGGGGATATTGGGACCCCGGGCCCTTCCAATCTCTGCTTCCCAGCTACTCTGAGGTGAGCTATTTCACTGTACTCCGTGCTCTCCACATGGTATGCTGCCTCGGCCCCAAAACACAAGCCAACTAATCATGGACTGAAACGGTGAAACAAAATAAACCTTTCCTTCATATCAGTTAATCTCAGGTATTTTGTTACGGAAGACAGAAAAAGCTAACACATCTTGTCCTTTAGGTGTTTGCAAAAGCCTCTCTCTTTCATCATGAGCTCCAGAACATAGAAGCCCCACCTCTGGAGCTGTGCGCCTCATCCATTCCATAGCTTAATACTTTGTAGGAGGCTCAGTTAAAATGGTAGCACTAGATGATATGCGTAACAGTAGCTCCTAGACACCTACACATCTCCGCGCAATTTGTGCCCATCACAGTTTTACCAAATTGGATGTATTTTATCACCCATAATTTCAGCAAATACTGAGCATCTGGGCCCATGAAAAAGGCAGGCTCGGTTCTCATGGAACTTATATTCTATGGGAAGGAGATCAATGATACAAAAGCAGTTTTAGATTGTGACATGTGCTGTAAAGAAAACAGTGAAGCAGTTAGGGTAAAGGGGAGCTCTTTGGATAGGATGAGAAGAAGCCTCTCTGAGAAGGGGACAGCTGAGGAGACAGTAACATTGAGGAAGCTGCAGCCCCATGAGGACCTGCGGAACCCCTGAGTCACATTGTGGTGAAAACAGGCATTACTAATCACTTGACATCTTTAAGCAAAGGAGAAGAATTCCGTGAGATTGGAGTGTAGAATATTAATGGCAGTATAGTGGGCAGTTGAGACCATATCATGGAGGTGACAGAAATGTGCATTGAAATATCAGTAATCGATACCCACTGGGCCTGTGAACTACATTTATACTGAAGTCATGTGAGTGTTAAATGCGCAGCTGTCTACCTCTGGTTTTCTGGCCACTCCAAATCCAAATGGGAGCATTCTGGCCTCAGAAAACAGAGCTGGGGCTATAGCTCAGTGGTGGAGTCCTTGCCTAGCATGGGTGAGGCTCTGGGTTCAGGGGTTTGATCCTCAGCACTGCCAAAAGAAAAAGACAACAGAACTGTAATGTCAGTGTCAGGTATATTAAAGGCATGCAGGTGTATCAGTCTTCACACCTTTTTGTGTGAGCGCACCTGTGGCAATTGCTTAATGGAAACTTTGGGGTCCATCCATCATCCCTACAACATTTTATTGTTTGCTTAATATTTTTCACTCCCAATACCCTCAGGCCACTAGGGCTGTCACGTGGTAAACCTTTTCTTCAGTCAACACACCAATACTTCTGCATGAATGACCTGATTAGCCTCACTGGAAATCTGATACACTTTACACTGGTACCCAGAACTTGTTGAACTCTTTGTAACCCTGTGCTTTTGAGAGATATAATCATGGTATATGGAAATGTCATCACATCAGATCTCTAAACTTTAGAGATTAAAGAACAGGAAACTTGAGACTCAACATCTGTGGAATGCCTTTACTATGTCAGATCCTTTAAGAGGGACTTTTTAATACTTTAACCTGCTTGATTTTCATAAACCCTTGAGCTTTTCATCAGATACACTTTCTGGATTAAAAAACAGGCTCAGAGTGATTTACTGATCCAAAGTTATACCACTGGGAAATGAACCCTGGAGTCCATTTTCTTTCCTCATTCAAAGTCTGTGTTCTGAGGCATAAGAGTGTGGACTGCTGGCCAGCTTGCCATTTAGTGTAACTCCAGGAAAGCTGGGGAAGTTATTTACCCTCTCTGTGCTGTATTTTCCTCAGCCAAAAGGTGGGGATGCTTGTAGTACTTTCCTGATAGGACTGTTAAAAGGATTAGATTCCTCATGTGCATGTAAAGTGCCCAGCATGCTGCCTGGCACCTAGCAGCAAGCCCTGTCTGTCCTTCTCTATTCTTCCCACTGTGCCCTGCTGCTCTTTTAGAAACCTTGGTGCTTCTGTAACAACACGGCATGCAACTTGCAGAGAAAAGTGAGGTAGAGAGGCTAAGTGTTTTTGGCCCAAGTTCACATCACCCTTTAGGGGCAAGGCAGGACATCTGCCCGGAGTTCCTGCCTTCTGTATTTGTTTTTTCCTGTGCCTGCACCTGACTTCACATTCACATCTCTTAGTGACATGTGCACCTCATCCTGCATAGCCCCAGCCCAGGCCTCTCCCTCCAGCACCTGGCTACATACTCTCTCTCATTCAAGTCCACTTACAGGTGTGGGCACCCCAACTAGGAGGAAGCAGTGGGCAGACTCCTGGTTGCTTGCAGGCTCCCTGCCTAACCACACCTGAGTGTCTGTTGACCCGAGAGTGAGTGAATGTGGGTGAGTGTGTGCGCACACGTGCATGTGTATCCCCAGTGCCTTTGAGGACTTGCATGCTTCTCTCCTTACATGGAAGGAGTTAGGCAGCACACTTTTGCTTGTTTTGCATTTGAGAGAAGGAGCTCTTAGAGCCCTGAGAGGACTGGGGTTAGGAAGACATCAGTGAGGACGGAGAGAGAAGCAGGATGCCAAAATCCATGAGCATTTGCCCTTGAAGTACTTGCAAGGCCCCTGGGATGACAGATGTAGGCTGCTACATAAAGGAGTTTTTCCTCTCTTTTAAAAATAAGTATGGGATTAATAAAGCCATATCAAGGCACGTTATGGTGAGCCACTTTAAGTAAAAGATGTTGGCAGCCTTCTTTAGGGTTCTGTCTTTGATTTTCTGGAGCATTGGGGGAAAGGCTTCTTTCTCCCAAATTTGAATGAATTCTTTGCAAAAATGTTCTAGCCTTCCAAGAATTAACAGTAGTAGCTTACATTTGAAAAGTGCTCTGTGGTTTTTAGAGCACACTCAGGGATATTATCTTATTTTACCTTCACATCGACCTTGTCAGACAGGACAGATATTACTGTCCCCGCATTGCATGAGAAGAAATTTGAACCCTAAGAAGTGAACAGGTGTGGCTAATGTCACAGGGCTCTGACCAGAACCCAGATCTGAGGTGCATGGCCTTTGCACCCTTTTTGTTTTCATCATTGTTCTAGGGATGAAACTCAAGGCCTTGCATGTGCTAGGCAAGCGCTGTACTCTCAGCAGCACCCCCAAATGCGTTTCTGTTTGTGTGAGCACAAAACTGGGGTGAATCGTATTTGCATTTGAATCATAATAATACTGCATACTTATTTCTTACAGGTCCAGTTATCTTTTAACTGTCACATATGGACTCCCAAAGATCTCCAAAGGAAACTGTCCTCATTACAGGAGGAGGTGGCTACTTTGGTTTCCGGTCAGTACACCTGTAGGATATGCCCACAGAATTATTTTACTTGTACCTATAGTTGGTGGAAAAATTTTCTGGTAGTATTAAACCAGAAATGAATGATGTTGTCCACTCCCCAGACATTGGAATTGAGAGCCACAGATATATTCCATATCAAGGAAACTTCTTTGTAAATCCAACAAATTGAGGAGTGGTAGTCACATCACTGAAAATTTAAAATAATAGTTATTCTTTCACAATTAAGTCACTATCATTTAAGTAGATAAGAGGATTCTTGTTTTATAAAATTTAAATAAATAAGACTTGTGAACTTATAAATAACAGACTCAGGAGGAGGCAAGAAGACTTGGATCAGCCTCATCTTGGCTGGTCAATTATTTTGTACACTGTACCAGGCACAGCATAAGGGTGACTTGCTCTAACTTTCCATGGCCCTCATTCTAGCCTCGGCTGTGCGCTGAGCCGGAAGGGAGTCCGTGTGATTCTGTTTGACATCAGCAGCCCTGCTCAGACCATCCCACAAGGAATGAAGTTTGTACTTGGAGACATCCGCCACCTTTCTGACGTGGAGAGGGCCTTCCAGGACTCAGACATCTCATGTGTGTTCCACATTGCCTCTTATGGCATGTCGGGGCGGGAGCAACTGAACCAAAACCTGATTGAGGAAGTCAACGTGGGTGGCACCGACAATGTCCTGCAGGCCTGCTGCAGGAGAGGGGTTCCCAGACTGGTGTACACGAGCACTTTCAATGTCATCTTTGGAGGCCAAGTCATCAGAAATGGAGATGAGTCCCTGCCTTACCTGCCGCTTCACCTGCACCCTGATCACTACTCTCGGACCAAATCTATTGCAGAGAAGAAGGTGCTAGAGGCAAATGGCTCTGCCCTGGAGACAGGAGATAATGTCTTAAGAACCTGTGCTCTGAGACCAGCTGGCATCTATGGGCCTGGAGAACAAAGGCACCTTCCCAGGATAGTGAGTTACATTGAGAGGGGCCTGTTCAGTTTTGTGTATGGTGACCCCAGCAGCCTGGTTGAGTTTGTCCATGTGGATAACTTGGTGCAGGCACACATTCTAGCCTCAGAGGCCCTGAAGGTTGATAAGGGCCACACTGCCTCTGGGCAGCCCTACTTCATCTCAGATGGCAGACCAGTGAACAACTTTGAGTTCTTCCGGCCTTTGGTTGAGGGCCTGGGCTACAAGTTCCCATCCACCCGCCTGCCACTCACCCTGGTCTACTGCTTTGCTTTCCTGACAGAGATGTCCCACTTCATCATTGGCCGACTCTACAACTTCCAGCCTTTCCTCACCCGCACTGAAGTTTATAAAACTGGTGTCACACATTACTTCAGCCTAAAGAAAGCCAAGATAGAGCTTGGTTATGAGCCTCAGCCGTTTGACCTGCAGGAAGTAGTAGACTGGTTTAAAGCCCATGGTCATGGCCGAAGTCCTGGAAATGGAGACTCAGAGTTTCTTCTTTGGCATGGGCTGTTGATCTTACTCTTGGTTCTATCAGTTTTCACCTGGCTACCACCTACTCTGTTTCTGTCAGTGTGAAGAAAGAACAGATATAAGTTTCTGATCATACTTGCTGGAATGATTTTCAAGAACACAGATTTTAAAATATATATAGTGTTGCTAATGTTTCCAGAACTATATTGAACAGGAGTGGTGATAGTGGGCATCCTTGTCTTGTTCCTGATTTTAGCATGAAAGTTTTCAGTTTTTGACCATTTAGTATGATGTTGGCTGTTGGTTTTTCATAGATAGCCTTAATCAGGTTAAGTTAAAGACCTTCTATTCCAATTTTCTGTAGGGTTTTTATCATGGGTGTTGGATTTTGTTGAATGCTTTTTCTGCATCTATTGAGATGATCATGTGGTTTTTGTCCTTGACTCTGTTAATATGGTGTATTACATTTATTGATTTACGAATGTTGAACCATCCTTGCATCCCTGGGATAAATCCGACTTGTTCAGGGTGTATGATCTTCTTGATACCCCTCTGTATTCTGTTTGCCAGTATCTTGTTGAGGATTTTTGCATCTATGTTCATTAGGGAGATTGGCCTATAGTTCTCTTTTTGAGTTGGGTCTTTCCCTGGTTTTGGAATCAAAGTAACACTTGCTTTCAGGAATGAATTTTGAAGTATTGTTTCCCTTTCAGTTTCCTTGATGAGTTTAAAGAGTGATGGCATTAGTTCTTCTTTAAATGTCTTGTAAAATTCAGCAGTGAAGCCATCTGGACCTGGGCTTTTCTTTGTTGGTAAATATTTTATTACATTTTCAATTTCACTCATTCAAAGACCCAATTCAAAAATGGGCATCTGAAATGAACAGACATTTCTCAGGCAAAGAACTAAAGGCAGCAAACAAATATATGAAAAAATGTTCAACATCACTCGTCATTCAAGAGATGCAGATGAAAACAACGCTGAGATTCCACCTCATCCCAGAAAGAATGGCTGCTATCAAGAAATCAACCAATAACAAATGCTGGCGGGGTTGTGGGGAGAAAGGAACCCTTATCCATTGTTGGTGGGAGTGCAGACTGATGCAACCACTGTGGAAGTCAGTATTGAGATACCTCAAAGAAGTAGGGCTAGAGGTCCCATTTGACCCAGCTATTCCCCTGCTGGGTATCTTCCCAAAAGAATTAAAAGAATCATACCACAGTGATATATGTGCACCCATGTTCATAGCGGCACAGTTTTTAATAGCTAAAGCTTGGAAGCAGTCCAAGGGCCCATCAACTGGAAACTGGATAAAGAAAATGTGTTTTTTTTATAAAATGGAGTACTACTCAGCCATAAAGAATGAAAACCTAGAGTTATTTATAGCTAAATGGATGCATATAGAGGCCATACTCTTAAGTGAAATGAATAGGACACACATGTGTAAATACCGAATAGTTTCTCTGGTGTGAGAAACTGATAGTGTAAACAAGGATTAAAATGATTAAAATGAATAATTGATAATTTGAAATAGGAAAAAAGGTCCAAAGATGAAGGAGTGAAGGGAGGGGAAGGGGAAAGAAAAAAAGGGAAAGGAAAAACTATGGGAAAAGAAAAAAAAATGGAAATGAAATCTATGTAAATAGGAAAGGGCGGAGGGCATGAAGGGCGCACAGGTAATGGGGAAAAAAATAAGAACCAAGATACATCATGTACAGGTACAAACACCCAATGATAAATGTAAATGAACTGTATACCTAAAATGTACCAATAAAAGAACTAAAATAAATAAATAAATAAAAATAAAATATATGTAGTGTTACCTGGTGCCACACTTTGGCTTTCTAAATCACTACTTAAGAATAAGTTTTTCAATTACATTTTTCTTCTCTTATGTTTTTCCCAGCTGATTCTTTTGGGGAAAAAGGATAGACACATGTCTTAGTTACTTTCCTTGTTGAGGACTAGGCTACATAACCAGATTTCACAGTCTGGAGGTTGGTATTATCTTGCCTCAGGAACAGGGGAGTATCCAAAAGGCCGCATGCCCCCCCCCCTGGGGGGGGCGGAATGCTGATAAAACAACACTCCTGAGGCAAGACAGCATCTGCTGAAGACATTTGGGTATATACAGTATACAGGCATTTGGGTGTAGAGAAAAATCTGGCTCCTTGTTAACTTAATCCTTATCCACCCATTCTCTATAGTTGCTATTCCATGAAACTGGGGCTACCCCTCCCCCTGCACTTTTCACTGGCTAATAAATGCGGGCCAGCTGCAGAGTTTTATTCGAGTCTGTCCACTAGAGGCAGGTCTCCTCCTGGTTTCCCCTTTGTATCTTGAAAATTGTCTCTGTCTCTCTTTTTATTCCTCCTCATTCCCTCCAAAAGGTAGCTGAGGGTCTGATCAGCCCTCGGTATTTTCTCTCATTGCTGAGACAAAATACTCAACACCCAGAGTTAAAGGAGTAAAGGTTTATTTGGCTTAAAGTTCACTACAGGTTTCAGTCCATAGTTGGCTGGTTCCAAGGCAGAGTGGCACATGGCAAAGAGGCTTCACAGAGGAGAAACAGGTCAGGACAGAAGGTAGCAAAAGCAACAAGGAAACTTAAAAGCATTTTTCTACCTCTTTTATCCAAACTAATGGGATTAGGGCAGTGCCAAACTGTAAAACCGCTGTCCTTACCAAACGCTCCTTACCAAACGCTCCGAGGAGCTGACTATAGTGAAGCACACCCGGGGATCCCAGCGGTGCCTCCAGAATGTAAGACCAAGGCCTTACCAAATGCTCCAAGGAGCTGACTACAGCGAAGAACACCCGGGAAGGAACACACCGGACAAGTTGGAAAGTGAAACAGACCTTAGTCTGGCCAGACGGCACTCCCAAAGCAGAGTAGCTTAGAGAGGGGTAGTCCAGAGTCCAAGGCTCTTTTTATAGGGGTTTGCAGGGGAGTTAACAGGCGAAATTTACAAAGGTTTAGTGGTGTTACATTTGTATGTTAATTAGCCTGACATGTACTGAGAGTCAGCAGATGCTTTGTAGATTGTTCTATAGATAGTGGTGTCCGGAACAAAGAGTTGGATAATTATGACTGATACAGATCTTATCTAGTGTCCTGGAACTAAGAAGCATCTTTATCTATTTACTCACATTCAATCACAATTGGGGCTAGGGGAGTTTTATGATTACAGAGTTATGCAGTCCTACAAAACCAATCAGTAAACTGATTTAGTAATCATACACCCTTAATCCCAGTGTCACACACTCTAGATTCAGCCACCTCTAAAAAAGCCCTATGACTGCATGAGGCTTTGAGAGGACACCCAGACACCTAGACACAAACCATAACAACATAGATAAGTTTGGAAGTTGATTTCTCATGTCCTGTCTTAATAGGTGCCACAGAAGCTATTTGGAGCTATAGGAAAAGACTCAGTTAAATAGGAAATTGCTTGAATATCTCAGAAGTCAAAAATCCACTTATTTCTGTTTCATACACATAGAGTGTACATAAATGAACAAACTGATGTTGGGAGACTGATGTTGGGAGTGCCAAAAGTCTAACAGGTTTGAAAATGTGTAAAACACCAAATTGGGCCAGATTCCTAACAGACCAACCCTCAGAATGGTGGGCGTTGCAGGGAAACATGGTTGTGCACAGTGTAACTTCTCAAAATGAACTTTTGCTCTTCACGATAAACTTATGTGGCCACATGTAATACTGCAATTTAAATAAGGCATGTACTGCTGCCCTGCTCCTCCTACCCTGAGGGGTTTTTTGAGTTCCTGGATTCTCCGTGTCAAATCAGAGCCCAGGAGTGAGACAGAGATGTCCTTGCTGGCATCACCACGGCTCCTGTGCTACTTCATCCAACATCATCCTGCCCTGTGGTCTCAGCACATTTTCCTTCTTGCTTAAGGTGCTTCGTTGGTTTTTCCCCTGTGATTGCAAAGACCCTCACTCTGTCCACTTCTGTGCCTTCTTACTTAGAGAGGGGCTCTCCTTTGACCTCTGGGTGACAACATTTGCTTGCATTTTTCTCCCAGGATCAAGTGAATTTCCTATTTTAGAATCATGTTTATTTGAATTGTGTCTATTCAAATCATATGTATTTGGGTTCTGTGTGTCTGTAAGCCATCTAGTTCAAATTCTCTCATTCTATAAGAAAATTAAGAAAGTGATTTCTTCCTCAGAAAATAACCCAACAGAGCAGGAACCACATCTATTTTGTCTAATTTTATATCCAGAGAGCCCAGAACAACTCCTTTACCTGCTCAATAAATGGCTGTTGACTGAGTGGACACATTTATTCACCATGTAGACTCTTATCTGAGATTACAGCTGGTTTTTAATTATCCTTTCCACTTAGCCTGCGACTCTTCGCTATACCTAATAAAAATATTCAAGGTCCAAGTTGAAAATAGGGACTCCAAAGAAGTGACCTCATGCAAATGGCAAAGCAGAAAGCTTTAGAATTGGTCTCTTCATTGTAACAGCCAGAAAACTAGGGAGTATGTAGGTGTGTGGGGGGGGGGGTGGATACTGAAAATGCACAATGTCAGAATTTTTTGTCATGTATGTTTTACTGCAAAGGAATGGGAGATGGATACCTGTCTACAGACTCCAAACTCTTCACGTGGCAGTTTTGATTCAGAGGTCTGTGATGCCTGGGAACCCACACTTCAGGTGTTTTTCATCTTCCAATAGGAAGGAGAAGACGCTGCCAGGTACCAAACATACTCCCTTGCAAGTTGCTGAGTAAGAGCCCTCTGAATTCTGCACGGCTTTTCTCTAACAGTGCTTTGCCACAACAGATGCTGCGTACATTTTTACGGAGTGAGGAGACAAGGGACTCACAAAAGGGCTTAGATTCAATCCCCTTCTGTAGCCTTCTTTATGCAGGGACTGATTATGTGCCACATCCCAGTGCTGCTGAAATTTTCCAAACCTCTGAGGAGCCCCATCATTTGGCCAAAGGGCTTTTTTTTTTCTCTAGTAGGAGTCAAACTCTGGACCTTGTGCTTGCCAGGCAGGTGCAGTGCCACTGAGCTACATCCCCAGCCCCAAAGGGCTTTTTTTGCCAGCCTATCTTGTGGGAACTGGCTTCAGCACAAGTAGCCACTGGCTAAGGAAATCTAACCAGATCATCACCCACTGGGCATCTGCGGCCCAGCCTCTAAGTGTCTGCTACAGAACCTGTGTACACCAGAAAAGATACATTTGACATGGAATTTGAACAGTTACAACTGAGGCTAAATCTGGCTCACTGCCAAACAGTCACATGGGGCAGAGTGATCTGGGCAAAGGTCTTTC